TCTTCAACTGCCATTCTAGTTGCCTCATGAGGAGCTTTTCTCATTTGTTGTTTTTTCGTTGTTGCTTTTTGATTGCTATCATTCAGCTATGGTGCACGGTGGAGGCGCATGTCCCTTAAGGCCCTATTTCACCAGTGTGTAAGATGCTGCAGTAAGCTTCTTCCAGCTGATGGGCATTTCCTGTGTTTGTTCTATCTTAAAGAATAAGACTCACTTTCTTTGCACTTTATTCTGATGCATTTTGGCAGCTGTCTTACCTTACGGGAGGATGTCTCTGTTTCAGACTGTTAGCACTTGAACTCACATCCCATGATCCAATATAAGCAAGTGTAGTGTATGTCTCCATCCGTGAAGAACGAGAGGTGCACTGCTGCTCTGGATAGTTCATTTGTGTACTGTTAGATCTGCAGAAGCAAAGGAGTGTTTGTGTTTTTTGCAATTTTAGTAATCTCTCCATAATCTTTAATCTTTAGGTTGGCAGCCAAAACTTTTCTTTGAAAGGCATCAGTGGGTGAAATGTGAATGTTGCTTATGTTTGTTTCAGGGGATGAGGTGGCAGATCACAATTAAATTACTCTGGAAAAAAGGCACAGTGTGTTGGTAGTTCACTTGCTAACCCATGACCAGGTGGAGTTTGGCTTGCTGTGGCTTGTTTGTCCTCTTGTTCCCCAGAATGTCTACCATGGGCCTTTGTGGCAATACAGCCCTCATCTCATTGCTCCTACAAAAAAGCTGCTCTGGCATCCTGCCCTGCTCCAGTTGCTATCACTTTGCTGAGAAACAATCCCATTCATCATCTTTTAATTATTATTATTACACAAATGTCTGAGTGCAGTCATCACCCAGACCACCCCCACCCTCCTGTATTATTTCTTGCCAGTTTCTTCCCACTTCTCAGTGCTTCCCTTGACACTAACCTCTGAAAGTGGCACCTGAACTGTTGGGGCAGACAGGTGCAAGTACTACTAGAGAATGGATGTAAATACTGTGGCAATATGGAGAGTATGAGAAGAGTACTTACTGCAAACCACCCTGAAAAATCCGACAAGCCAGCCATGGATTCTCGGGGAGCTTTGCACATGGTTAATAAACCCCGTTTTAGCAACTCTGCTTGTCTGGGCATCATAACAAGCACTCTGAAACAAATGCTGGTGGTAACCCACTGTGACTTGTCTCACATGAGCCAGCTCACTGCCTGGTTGCTTCCTGCAATGGCTCATGAAAACCTAGACTGATTTGTATAAGGTGAACTATAGACTTTGTGAACTGCCCAGGGAGGCTTTTGGTGGATGGGTGGTGTGGAAGATAGATAAATAATATTAGATCAATTTAAAAGTTGTGGGGGGTGATGGATAATTGGATGGATGATTTTGGATCAGGGCATAGAAAGACATACAGTATCTCCCAGCTCAAGAACCCCAACTCCTCAGTCAAAACCCCCTTTTAAAGGGATTTTTTTTCCACTGTGGAAAAGGGGCTGCATGAACCTGGGAACTTGGGGCACAGTGGTTACCTGTTTGGAAGTAATGAGGAGAGTGTGATGAGGATCTTCTTGCAAAGGGGGTGTTAATTCCCTACCCTTTTCACAGCTGAAGATCACTTGTGTCTGATTCTGACCTTCAGTACCTGCAATTATTATTATTATTATTATTATTATTATTATTATTATTATTATTATTATTACTATTACTACTACTACTACTACTACTACTACATTTCTATGCCGCCCCTTGCCGAAGCCTCGGGGCGGCTTACAACACAATAAAATACATTGAAATACAATAGAACATAATAAATTACCACTAAATACAAAAAATATGTGCAATGTGCTCCCCATCCTTGAATCTGTGCAACTGAAAATATTTGCAGTCATGCAAAAAGGGTAAAGAAACAGTATTTGAAAAAGAATGTTTTACAAATGCTTGCGAAGTTTCAAGGAGGAAAAGGTAGGGGAACCATGGGTAGCCCCTCCAACATGCTGATGTGGACATTGCAAAAGCCGGCTTAAAAGCCGTCTTTTGGGAACTCACTTCCTTCAAGAAAGGTTAGGGGAAAGAAGCTTCTGCAAGCTCATGACAAGGAGGAGGGAATCACCTGTTCCATCCCATTGTGTCTTCTGGGATACCTGCAGGAGGACCAAGGAGGAGACCAATAACACATAATGAGTCTGATCAACCATTGGGTTCACTGCAGCTTGTTTTGTACACAGCCAGCCTCGCATGGCTTATTGCCAGCATGGGTTAGCATGATGGGCAGATATACCTATTGTGTTGTGAATGGAAGCAAAGTTAAAATACAGCTTTATTTGAATTTTGAACTGTAAATTCAGCATGGGTTGACAGCAATTACCCACATCTAAATACTTTTAAAAAGAGTGTGTGTGCATTTGGATGGAGAAGGCAGCCTTTGATATGATAGCTTAAACACAACAGTAAATATGAAGTCAAGCAGTGCTTCAGAAAAAGGACATGGGTAAATTGAATTGGAAGACCATAGAAAACCTTTCTGGGTAGGCAGAAGTTGCTGTGGATGCATTGGAAAGGGGAGGAGAGAGAAACAGAGTGTGTTTGTTGGTGTGGTGAGGAGAAATTGATGTAAACCTTTAGAAAGTTGATGGAATATTGAATGGCAGTGGAAACTTGGTAAACTGTGTGGGAGGGAAAAATAGTAAGGTATTTTTTATTTATACTTTAATGACAATCAAAATGTGCTACTATGTAAGAGATAAAAGCTCTTTCTACCCTTGTTTCTATGGAGACAGCCGTAGAGACAGACCACTATCTGTCTCTGCTTTTATAGGCTAATTCAATGTAGCACATTTATTCTAATTATATATACTTGCATCATTATTATTTATCAATTTATATAAGCATAGCACAGAATACACAGAATATGTATTTTTTCTGAGATCACTGCCTTGCCTCTTGAATATGAAAGGAATCTGAGACTTTGCTATGTGTAGATGATGCTCTTTGAACTCCTTTTTCATTATTGAAAACTCTGTGACATTTGAAATCAGCACCCCGATTCCACATTCATATTGTGAACTAATGGATGCACTCTGCATGTATTCCTCACTCTTGGACTATACTGGTAAAGCTCTGCTTGGCTTTCTCAGTTGTCATAACTGAAGTAAACTATGTGTAATCCCTACATCTCTGTACCCTTCTCCTAGAGGGTGCCATTTCTGAGGAAAGGGATTCAGAACCAGGCTGCTCTGTAAACAGGCTCCTCGCAGCCTTGTTCAAGCAGGAGAAGCCTTGAGCCAGTACATCCTTGGTGACAGGGATAACTTCAAGCCTTTACCTTATGGGATAGTGAATGACTCTCCAAAAGTATTTCTGTAGACCTGAGTCCAGACTTTCCCACAGCCGCCTTGCAGGGACACTAGCAAAATAATGTCATACTGCTGCCCCACCATGTTGTGAATTGACAGATTTTTCAGTTCAGACTTCTGTGTCAGAGCCTCCAAGTCTTCTGGGCTTTGCAGAAGACAGGGAACAAAAAGAGCTTTGTTCCAGGATCTAGTCTGAGTTATTACCCATTGGAGAAAGAGGTTTGGCAAGGGAAAAGGAAGTGACTGGAGTCTTCTCTTTTTGGCCCTTCTCTCTCTCTCTCTCTCTCTCTCTCTCTCTCTCTCTCTCTCTCTCTCTCTCTCTCTCTCTCTCTAGAAGATGTAAAGCCCTTTTAAAACAGATGAAAGAAAAGAAGTGGTAGATATATTATGGGAGTAAATTCAGAAATAAAAACTAATGCTAGAGGAAGAGTTGCATCGCCCCTTTTGTTAATTTGCAAGAAAGAACAGGATAAGAGGGACACAAAAAAAAAAGAGGTGGGAGAATACATACCAGGTTATTCAGCCATAGGATTATTCAGAACCAAGTGCCATCCTTGGAAATTTGCCAGAAGTTAAGAGGTGGGGCTGTGCCCTTGCAGCCAGTGCAGAAAGAACCATTCGAGCTGCAACTCCAAGGCTGCAAGAGGAACCTCAGAGATGGGCTTTGGGGGGCTGGGGAGGGCAAAAAGGAGACAAGCTTCACCAGTATGCACAGTATCCAGATGTCTCCTCAGCCTCCTCTCTTTTCACTCTGCAGCAAACCGGGTGGGAGAAGTACAGAAGCAAACTTGGCCTCTGCAATCCTCTGTCCTCAGTAGGATGCTCATAGTCCTCAGAGTTAGGTTAAAGGCAGCCTCATTGGATTGTGCTGTTAAGGATGGTTGCTTTCCATTCTTCTTTTCAGGCACAGCTATGTGCATGGGGGCAGGGTATGATGCTTCAGTGATGGTGATGATGCACAGTTATGCTAATTTAGACAATAGCTTTGTGTGATTGGTTTTTTAAATAGTGCTAGCCCAAATGTAATGTTAAAAGAACCTTGGAAGACAGAGAAACCCTAAACATGCACTCTTTCTGACAGCCTCATGGGATCATGTGACTAGAAATTTCACGTGTTCCAGCTGCACTAGAACTGGAGTACAAAGCAGCCAATAATATTTTCAGTTTACAATGTGGAAATATCCACAGCTGCTGAAAAGGTGAAATATGCAACTTGATGAAGCACAATGACATATCTCTAGTACACGTAGCTCTAGTTTCCTGGGAAACAAGTGCCTTCATTACTGCCTAGAATTTTATACAGAAAGCAACCAAGTATTTTTACCACCTCCCTCATCTGTTCCCTCTAACAGCCCAAGTAAACACCTATTACATAAAAATAGAGTGCTAAAGTCTGGTATTTCATTTCAGGCTGAGGGCATTTTTTATAAGTTGTGAATTCTCAAGTTTAAGGCAGAAAGATATTGTATCTGGAATGGAGCAAATCTGTGGCAGTAAGTTAAAAGGACTGCTTTGTATCAAATGCCCCATCAACATTATTGCAAAGGATGGTTTCCTCTTGTGTTAATAAAATAAATGAGCATTAGACCCACCAGTTACTTGTCAGAACATCTTAAATACTGCATGAAAGATAGATAAAATAATCTTTTTTTCTCTCTTGTAGATCTGGAGTCCGTATCGGCAGCCGGGTTGCACAGGAGATCTGGATGGTAAAATCGAGGATGATTCGCGATGTCTGTATACTCATGAAGAGTACATCAGTCTTGTGCTGAACAGCGGCAGTGGCCTGTCCCATGATTATGCCAATCAGTCAGTCCAGGAGGATCCACGAATGATGGCCTTCTTTGACTCCCTGGTCCGCAGAGAGATTGAGGGATGGAGCTCAGATTCAGACAGTGACCTCAGTGAAAGCACTCTCCTGCAGCTGCATGCAGGAGTAAGCGAACGCTCAGGTTACAGTGAATCTGAGTCCTCGGCTTCTCTGCGTCACTCCCCACCTCACATGACGGAAGAATCCGATGAACCTGCATACAATTTGGGAACCTTGAGACCTACTGAATCTTCACCCACAAGAGAAACTGTGGCCGTTCGTCAGCAGAGGTTATCTGCATTGAGGAGGTATCAAGACAAATGTCTTCTTGCTCTTTCTAATGAGTCTGATTCTGATGAAAATACCTGTGAAACTGAGTTGGATGCTGATCTTTTTCCAAGGCCGAGGTCCCCAAGCCCTGAAGAGAATGAATCCAGCAGTTCCAGTAGCAGCAGCAGCAGCGAAGATGAGGAGGAGCTGAATGAGCGGCATGCCGCAACCCGGCAGCGCAATGCACTGAGGCGCAGACAGAAGCCACAGAAGGAAGAAAGGACTAATGCAAACAGAGAAAACACAAGCACCTATATAGGTGAAGACCTCTATGATTACCCTCAGATCAAAGTGGACGACCTCTCACCTTCTCCTGCTTCATCTCCTGAAAGGAGTACTGCAAATGCAGAAGTCCGCAAAGAAAAAATATCCTCATGCTCAGAAACTGAATCTGTAGACAGGAAGATCTACAAAGCTTTCAGGTGGCTTCATTATTCTTATATGTCATATGCAGCTAATAAAGATGGTGAATCCTCACGCGGAGGTGGAGAAAGTGAGGGGAGACCAGGAACTAGCAGAAAAAGTCAAGGTGGCCAGGATCCTTCTATTGAAAACTGTAACAAAGAAAACTTAAAGGAACGTAGCTCAGCAGAAAACTCCAGAAACAGTCAAGATTATGATCATGATAATCGGCGACAGCTAGAAGACCAGGAAAGCCTTGCTCAAGATACTGGGAGTAGTGGGTCTGTGGATCATGCTTTTGAATCCAAGAAGCTCAATGGAAAAGCCATTTGCAAAGAACGAAGCAGTTACATTGAAGAACCATGCAATCAGTCTGCAGGATTTGTGGAGCAGAAAAATAACCAGAATTGTCAACCAGCATCCAGCCACAACCCATTGGCTGTTTCTAAGGATACATTTTCTATTACTGCCAATTCTAGTGGATCCGGAAATTGCCCTAGAAGCCCCGCAGATGACAATGAGGACAGGAGCACTGACAATTCCTGCTCGAATCACAATAATGGGCACTTACACTCTCGCTCTTCTTACCTTAACAAGAGACAGAGCGTTGGAGAGCAGGAGGCCCTGGCCCAAGGAAGACAATTACTTTTAAATGCTGATAATGGCAGTCTTGTGCAGACATGCACATCCTTGCATAAGGAATGCTGCCTGTCTGCAACAGACTCTTCCAGTCACAGCATGAGCAAGAAAGAGGATGTGGCCGAGTTGCATCCCGCAGATAGTGATGGCACGCAAATCCATGGACGGCAGAAAAGGCACAGAGCAGAGTTTGAAGACACAGATTCTGAGAAGTCTTCCTCAGAAAAGAAGTTAAAAACACATGCAGCCTGGTTCTGAAATGTTGCATTTCCAGCTCTCCATTCCATTCTTCACCGGGTCTATTTTAAATTGCCAGGGGCTATGTTGTATAAAAAAAATCTAATCAACTCCTTTAAAATGAGACTGCGTATAGTGTACCCTTACAAGGTTTTGTTCAAGTAAATCCTTATTCAGACAGTTGACTTATTCTTGTGTGATGTGTGGTGTTTCTTCAGCTAGCTACCTAATGTAGCTATTGTACATTTTATTCTTCTGAAAAGAATTATTTGTGTGTTGATACTGTGGGTTTTATAGTCTCATTCAGTTGAGCAATAGGCAAATTACATCCTATGACTGATGCTTTCAGAGTGTGTTTTCTCTACAAGAAAATGCGGGGTGGGTGGGATTGGATGTAGCTTTTTAACCCTTTCCTGTGCTTTTGAAGTCTTAAAAAAGAGTGACTCACTCTTGGTTCAGAAGCATCTTCATGGTTTATGTATGTGAAGTAATAGACATCTGTTTGTACTTAAGGTAATCTGATTGCTCATTCAAGAGGCAGAAGATGGTTTTCTTTGATCTAGACACTTGTTAAGGTAGCATCTATAATGACCTTTTTCTCTCAGATTAACTCTCACCCATTGCAATGTAGCCATATTTGTCACTAAGCTGGAAGGCAGACTCAACTCCAGTTTTAAATAAATCAGAGGTATGATCCTGGAGTGGCATTGACCTTCTCATTGGCCCATTTGCTGTCCCCAAACTTTGAACAGATTACAAAATAACTTGTAGCAAAGCTACATATCTCGCATCTGCATATTGGTGGCACAGTCCAGAAAAGATGGTTAGCGTTAATCAAAGGAGAAGATGCGTAATGATGTACCTAACAGAAACTAACTGTGAGCGTGAATTGAATCTTGAGATCTGATTCTTCTCTGTTTCTTTCTTTTTTTTTAAAGAACTGATCTTATTTGGAACAATAGCCTGACTTTAGAGACCCTGATTTTACAGTCCTGCACTACAGTACAAAAAGTGCAGATTGATGTATGGTTTCCAATTAAACAAATATTTTTGTGTGTATGGACTATCTTTGTTTTTTATAATAAATTCTAAAATTGGAATATTTTTATAACTGTTGTATACTGGAGGTTGGGAGTTCAGTAGCAAATTCTTCCGGGATACAAAGTCAGTATGTTCTATCACATTAGCTAATGACATTTTTAATGTTATTGTAGCTGACAGCATCAGCAGCTGGGAGAAGGTGGGGAAGTGATGTTTTACCCTGGGTACTACTGTGATTTGCAGTCTATTGGGGGTGATTTATCCGCCCCTTTCCGCCAAACACTAATACCTTACAAATTAGTGCCAGCCTTATGGGCTGTATCAGAATTAGTAAAAGTGCCTTTTGACCGATATTTTGCTATCATTAGGATGTCAGTGCAAAAAGTAATTTGTGAGTCAAGAACAAGGGATGGAATGGGAAGAACTTCAAACAGAATCCTACTTTCGCCTAGTCTGTGTTAGAGATACCATCTTTTTGTCTCTTGGCTTAACTTTTGTACATTGATCTGCTTATAAAAGGACCACCTTCATTAGGTGTATAATCTCTCTCTCGCTCTCAGGAATAAGCCTTCCTACAAATTCAAAAGAACCTGTTATATTTTTTTCAAAAGATGCAGTAGTATATGGCAAGCCCCAATGAGTTCATCTCAGACCTTGCTGGACCTTGTAAATGTTAAATTAAAAGGTAAGTTGTTTCTGCTTAATCTTATTATTAGTGCTCAACTTTTCTTCAATGGATCCCTTTCCAAGAAAAAGGCACTTCTGCAATGTACAGCTGTTCAACTGAATGCCATAACCCTGGGTTTGAAGGCATTACTTAAAGCTGGGGGAAAGGTAAGGCACCTTTATTAAATAAAAATGAAGATTTCATAAGAATGTTTAGAGGTGAAAAGAGACACAGCAGATACGCTAGGAAGAGCAAAAATTTGCTAATAAAATAGACTTTTGTGATAAATGTGTAAGAACATCTGAGGTAGAAACTTTCTCTTCCTTTTAAAAGAACTTCACACTCGCAAATGATAATGTAGCAATTGGGAAGACTACATTATGTAACAGTGTAATTGTTAGTAGACTGATATCAAATCTCCCATCAGCAAAATTATAAGCAGAGTGAATAATCTTAGAATAAAAAAATCAAAAGAGCTAGCCTAGGGGTAACCATTGTTTTCTAAAACATTCAAACAAATTTCTTATATTTCTTCTTCAGCCTAAAGCTTAATCTCTCCAACCTACCTCCAGCATCTCTCCTTCTGGCACATCTTAAATAGTGAGACTCCACAAGAGCATAGACTGGCCTTGCCATACTAGGAATCGGTGGGGCTGCTGAGAAGCAGCTGCCAAGACAGCCACGTAGGACACTTTTCCTTGAAGGCTCTGCTGTGTGTTGTATCCTGTCTCTCACTTGCCTCATACTGCACTTCCACATTTCACGGACTTCTCTTTAAATAATCAGTAGACTATGAGTGTATGTGTGTGTATCAAGGTAGCAGAGCATTTCAAAACCAGCATCTTACTGAACTTTCTATGGGAAAACTGGTCCTAGACGGCCAGTAATTATGTTAGACAGAATTGCAAACCCTCAGGTGAATTGACCTGAGTTTCCAGATGCTGAGACTAGATAACCCCCAGTGTGCTTAAAGCCGTGAACCTCCTTCTGTCATCTGACTGAAGAATGTTGGAAAATAGAATACGGAGCCAGGTGAATGTTCCATTTGGTACATCATTCCATTTGTATCCCACCAAACTGAATGAATGAATGCCACCAAAAATGTCCCATCTTTGACAGCCCTGCTCAGCCTTTGTAAACTCAAGGCTATAGCTCCCTTTATGGAATTGATCCATCTCATACTTGGACTTCCTCTTCTTTGCCCTTCAACTTGCCCTCGGAGTCTACAAGAGTAAATTTTACTTGAAAGGCACCTCTGTATGTGTTTGCTGTTTTGGCTCTGGTCTGTTCCTTCTAAAACAAATGTGACTGATACATGCTGTATGGAAAATGTCTTTTTTCAACCATTCTTGTTCAGTTTGATAAGGAAAGAATTTGATTTCAAAAGGAAATTCAGGAGAGAAGGAAACAGTAAAGGAATGTTTGTGGGTTGGGTCTGAGGTCTGCATGCTTTTAAGGCACATGTGCAAGTGTCTTGTCTTGTCGTTGCACAGTCATCTCTCTGGTATCCTGTATCTTTCTCGGCTTCCTATGTTTCAGTTAAAGCCCAGGAAGGCATGAGGTCATTCCTGCCACAGGGCTTTTTCAGATCAGGAACTGCAGGCAACCTGGGAGGCTACAAAGGAATGGAAAGAAAGAAAAAAAGCCATACAGTGGCCTCAGCCAGTAAGAGTGATTAAGCTCAGAAAACACTATCAAAATCAATTCAAAATAAGGTATAACATGCCCTGAGCATGAGGCAGAGGAATGGAAGCCTCTTTATTGAGCAAAAAAACGCTTTCAGGAAATGGGAGGACAGATCTTGGAACAGCACCAGCTCCCCCTCTTCCCTGGAGTGAGATGCAGCATTGATCTTCTCATGCCAGCATTGTGCAGGATGCCAAAAGCCAGGTTTAAAAATAACTAAAATCTTTAGATAACCATAGTTTGGTAATTTCATGTCAAAACAGAAGCAGAACTTACAAAGTAACTTCTGCAGAGAAGTGTGCATGGAACTTGATTTCAACCTAGGAAGCTGCCTTGTGCTTGGTCCATCTAGCCCAGTACTGTCAACACTAACTGGCAGCAGCTGTCCAGGGTTTCAGGCAGGAACTTTCCCAGGCCTACCTGGAGATTTTGAGGATTAAAGCTGGGACTGAGTTATGGTTCCCTTTCTGGGAGATATAATGTATGCCTAAACTGAGGGTCATTTCTGCCATTCAAAAGACAATATAGCAATGTTTATGTGTGCCATAAAGATGGCTTCAGATGCATGTTACAAACACCATATAATTTGAAGAAATCATGAGGAATTGACTTGCAAGGTAGGTTTGAAGTCTTTTTGACTAACCTACATTAATGTTAGGTTTCCGTAAGAGTATGCACGCTTTGATTCTGTGCAGCGTTGAGTCATACTAATGTTGCATGTGAGTAAATATGAAGACAATCTAAGCTCCTCAAACATTTAAAGTTGCACTAAACCAGGCTAGACGCCAGGCTAAGACCTTTTTATTTAAACAATATTTTAACAACTTTTAATATCATCTATAGGTTTTAATTTGCAGCCAGGGTGAATCTGAATTTTAGTTGTACTATTTGTATTATGTTTGTTTATTTTATGTAAGCCGTCCCGAGGCTATGCGATGGGATGGCACACACAAATTCTAAATAAATAAATAAATAGACCTATTGTACTCTAGAGGGCCTGGCTCAAGCTGTTCTGTAAGATGGTAGCCCATGGCTAATTACCAGGCTGGGTGCTGAGCAGAGTTGGAAAGTGCTGGACCAGCTCCCAAAGAAAAATTACATCCAACCACATTGCAGCCTACGTCATCAGTTCTATCACACCATTTCTCTTGAGGGAATCTGGCTCTGGGACCTTCTGGCTGCTACCCACTTGTACAGGATATGCATGCACAGAACTGCCCCAACTCCAAGATACCAAGTATTGCTTGGTCTTCCCCATTTCTCCACTCTTGGGGCTTTCCAACACAAAGCACTTAACATGTGCTCCCCATTTTTGACTCATGATCGTTTACACATTCTATTTTCCCTCGAGTTTCACTTTGGTGTCCACAAAGCACTTTCAGCAATTTTTAATAGCAGTATTTACTTTTAAGCCCAAAGAAAACACTTTTCAATGTGTGTCTTTGACTGTTCTGCTATAGCACAGCAAAGGTGATGCAGGGGTTGTTTTAGGGAAAAGCAGGAAAAAATATGCTACTTGTGTCATGCTTTGCTCTTAATTTTGTGACAAACCTGAAAGTAGCTACAGCTGATGAACCACCCTGAGCTGAAAAATCAAACATTAGAGTTCAGGACTTCACAAACCTCTGATTCATAATGTTTTTAAACCTTCAGTTGCAACAGGGGGAAGTTAGAAATCTGTATTTTCATCATGCAAAATAGTCTCCAACTCATCTGATTTAGGCTTATTGTGACTTTGTGAAGCAGGTCAGAGCTTCGGTAGTTAAAACTGGGAACTGTAGTTGAAAAATAGTGACTGTGTTTGAAAACTGTGGGGCACTAGGGAGTGGTACTGGGGTTAAAGGCATTAAAAAAGGAAGGTTGGTGGAGAGGCAATTCATTTAGGAAACCCCCACTAATTTTATATGGTCCTAGCTAAATGAACATGTCCAAGTATGAACATTGCATATATGTGCAATTGGGTGCTAAACATGTTTTCAATTGGACATAAATATACCAGGGGCAACTATATGATCAAGTTGGCAGGCAGTCTGCTAAACCTCACTTAACAAATTCATGCTGCCTAGAAACTAAGGAAAGCATTAACATTTAAAATGACTGCTTCTTCTATATTCTCTTTGTTCCTGGAACTTTAAAGTGTGTTTGGGGTGAACTGTGCATTCAGTTTTCTTCCCCCTCCATATCAAAACCAATTTGGGCCAAGATTTGGCCTCGAAAGCAAGAAAATTGACTCTGGGAGCAGTCTGTGTGTAGTGCAGGACAAGGCGATTGGCTTTAAGACTGAACATTTCAGTTGAAAACTATATTTCTAACTGGATTCTAAAACCATTTCTAGAAAAAGCAAATAAAATATTTTGAACTGCTGCAGTCTCAGTGCAACTGAAATGCTAGTTCCAAAAGCTGGAAGTAATTCAATTGGGCAATATGCATGCCAGGCATCCAGTGCAGCAGGGCAGCCCCTGCTGCAAGACTAATCCACAGCGGGCTGTCATGTCAAGCAAACCTGGTCTTCAGTGAGGACTGAAAGTGCACATCAGTGGCCATTCATGCTTCCCCATCACCAGAAGTACCCTCTGAACATTCAAGCGCATGTTTGCCCTGTATTCCCCCTTTGGAAAGGAATAATGAAGACTGACAGTTGGTTCAGGATGACTTGCTGAGATGC